AAATGTACACCTAAAAATGATCAAAATGGTTATTTTTTGTCATGTATACATTAAATTTTTAAAAATCCATCAATGAAATTCTCCACATCAAAAACTAAACAGAAAAAAAAGTATGAGCATCTCAATAGGTACAGAGAAAAACACTGACAAAATTCAATATTCATTGATAACTACGGAAAAATAAAACCTCTCAGCAAAGCAGGAATACAAGGAAATATCAACTTGATATAAAGCATCTATAAAAAAACCTATAATGATCATGGTATATAATGGTGAAAGACTGAATGATTTCCCTCTAAGATCGGGAACAAGACAAGAATATCTGCTTTTCTATTCAACAATCAATCATTTCTATTAACACTGTACAGGATGTTCTACTCAAAGCAATAAAGCAAGACAAATAGATAAAAGCACAAAGATTAGAAAGGAAAAAATAAAACTGTCCTTATTCACAGATGACATGATCATCAAAGCAGAAAATCACAAATAATCTACAAAATAAGCTACTATAACTGATAAGTCAGTTTAGCAACGTCACAGCATATAAGGTCAACATAAAAAACCAATTGTACTTCTATATGCTAGAAAAGAGGAATTAGAAATTGAAATTAAAAACCAATACCGTCAACAATAGCATTCTAAAACATGAGAACACTAAGGGATAAACATAAACACTATGAAAGATATTTCAACGAAAAAGTACAAACCAAATAAACGGAGAGCTAGATGTTCTTCATGGACTGGAAGACTCGATATGCTTAAGATAGCAATTTATGTGAAACCGACCTATATATTCAACACAATCCTGAAGAAAAATCCCAACCGGCTTTTTTTTTCTTTTGGTAGAAATTGATTCTAAAATTTATATGAAAATGCAAAGGCTCTAGACTAGCAAAAACAATTTTTAAAAAACAGAACAAAGAGGGGCCAGCCCAGTAGAAGAGTGGTTAAGCCCGCGTGCTCCACTTTGGTGGCCCAGGGTTTCACTGGTTGGGATCCCGGGCACAGACACAACACTGCTCATCAGGCCATGCTGAGGTGGCGTCCCACAGAGTACAACCAGAAGGACCTACAACTAGAATATACAACTATGTACTGGGGGGCTTTGGGAAGAGAAGAAGGAAAAAAAAAAAAGAAGATTGGCAACAGATGTTAGCTCAGGTGCCCAATCTTTAAAAAAAAAAAAACCAGAACAAAGATGGAGTTCTTTATCTGATTTCCAACCTTACTAAAAAAGCTGCAATCTATATACAGATGTAATAGCTTAAAGACAGACACATAAATTAATGGAACAGAATAGAGAATTTAGAAACAGACACACACATATGTAGTCAATTGATTTTCCACAAAGGTGCTAAGGGAATTCAATGGAAAAAGCATTAATCTTTTCAACAAATGGTGCTAGACAACTGGATAACCTACATATAAAAGGAGGAGAGGAGAGGACAGGACGGGACGTGACGGACGGGGAGAGGAGAGGAGGGGAAGGCAGGGGAATCCTTTATCTGATCAAGGACTTGTTTCCAAAAATATATAAAGAACTCTTACAACTCAGTAATAAGAAAGCAAATCATTCAATTTTTAAAAAGACAGATACTTCAAGTTAGAGATATGAATGGTAAACAAACACATGATAAGATACTCAACATTATTGGTTATTAGGGATATGCAAATTAAAACTCAATGAGGTAACATTATACCCTACTAGTATGATCAAAGCCATAAAAAAGACAGTATCAAGAGCTAAAGAGGAGTAACTGGAACTCTCAAACATTGCTGGTAGGAATGCAAAACGGACAGCCTCTCTGGAAAATATTTTCAGTTTCTTATAGTTATACATGCACTTATTATATGAATATGTACATATAGGATATACGAAAGGAATATGTACATATAAAGACTTACACATGAATGTTTATGACCTTTTGATTTATAATAGCCTCAAACTGGAAACAACCCAAATGTTAGTGAAGAATAAAATAACAAATAATAAAAAAGAACAAGCTAACAATAAATGCAACAATATGGATGAATCTCAGCAATACGAAGCCAGACACAAAGGGCTACATAATGTATGATTCAATTTTATGATATTCTGGAAAAGGCAAAATTATAGAAACAGAAATCAGATCAATACTTGTCAGGGGCTGAGGAGAGGCAAGGAGATTAACTATGAATGGGCACTAAGGAACATTTTGGGCTAACAGAAATGTTATAAATCTTAATTGTGGTGGTGGTTAATGAACATATACACACATATTTATCAAAATTCACTGAACTGCACCTTAATAAATATGCATTTTTATAAAATGGGGGTATATTAGTGTATACACACAGAATATCTCTGTAAGGATATTCATTTTATTTTTATTTATCAAACCCTTACATAATATTCATTATATTTCAGACACTATTCTAAATGCTGTACAAATATTAACTTATTGTAGGAGATGCCTTTAGGAAGAGAGACTAAGAGACTGAGGGTCTCAGGGTGAAGTGAGACTAACATTTTTTTCACTGTTTACTCTTTTGTGCTATTTGAATTCTTTTAATCACGTATATATCTTGCTTATTTAAAAGCAAGCTTTTAAAAACAGCTTTTGCAGGGTTTTTTAAATTGCTTTTGCCACATCCACCAGAGATCTTCTTATTGACAAATCAATGTACTCAGTCCTCCTCTTTTTTGTTCCCTCTGCGGCACAGGACTGCCACCCATTTCTCAAAGCCGTTCGCCACGTGTCCTTTTTGCAGGTGTTCTTTCCCCCTCCTTCCTCCTGTTTCTCCCAGGCATGTTACCTGCTACTGAAATCTTATCACTTACACTTCAAATATATCTCTGGTGTCTTTCCCCTCTCCTCTCTACCACCACCGCCTTCGTGCAGACCCTGAGGAACACCTGAACAATTCTGCTCCTCTCCTAATTTGGCCTCCCTCCCTTCAGCCTCATCCTGCTCAAATCCATTCACTACATTACCGACAGGGTGTCTTTTGAAGAATGCAAACCAGATCACGTCACTTTCACGCTCAAATCTTAAATTATTAATTTGTCAAACTCTTTACTTCACATAAAAACAGTGATGTCAGCTTTTCCTGACTTTCCAGATTCACCTTCATGCTCTCTAGGTCCCAAGATACTACCATTTTTGCTATACAATTAAAGCTCCTCACTCCTAACACTTACTGGTCAGTTCCTCGAGCACAGGAACCAAGTTTGAGTCATCTTGTTATCTTCAGCTATAAGTGCCTGGCATTTAGTGGGTATGATGGTTAATTTTATGTGTCAACTTGTCTTGGCTACGGTGTCCAGATATTTGGTCAAATATTATTCTGGGAGTTTCTGTGATGGTGTTTTTGCAAGAGATTTACATTTAAATCATTGCACTTGGAGTAAAGTAGATTGCTCTCCGTAAGGTGGGTGGGCCTAATCAGTTGAAGGCCTGACTAGAAGAAACAGCTGACCGCCCCTGGAGGAAGAGGGAACTCTGCAGCACACAATCTGGACTCCAACTGCAACTCCTCCCTGAGTCTCCAGCCTGCTGGCCTCCTCATCAGATTTTGGATGAGCCAAGCCTCCACAATTGATGGGGCCAATTCCTTAAAATAAGTATCTGTGTGTGATTTATGTGTATATATATGTATACGTGTGTATATACATGTAGATGTATGGATACACACACATACATATATACACACATATATCCCGTGGGGCTCTGTTTCTTGGGGACCCCTAACATAATACTGTGGGTATGCAAAAAACATTTTTCAAATTAATGAAATTAATGCTGGTTTTTTGTTCTGTTTTGTTTTCACTTAACTTACAAATAAATGTCTATGAGGAAATCTATTTTGACATATTTTTACAAATCACTCACCAGTTTTAAGTCAATATAAATGTGTTAAGTTAAAACAACATATATACAACATAAGAACTACAGAAACTTGAACACATGTTAGGTTTCATGTTACAAATACTTTTAAAAGAAGAAAAAGCACTGACTAGCCAGGTTATAAAAACAAAATTGAAATCTCTAGCGATACCACACAGACAAATAATTTTTTAATCACTCAAAATAACTAACTAGATATGCATAGCTGCCTTAAAAACAAAAGTATGTCTAAATGTTTTTTAACAGACGATTTTGTTTCTACTCTAAACTTCAGAAATGTGTTCCTGCAGAAACTGAAAACATCTCTGAAACGGAATCCTTATGGGAGAAAATGGAATGGAAAGCAGCCTATTACTTTTGATAGAAATGATTATTAAGCCTGTTTTATAAATTTTCATGTAAATAAAATGTTTACTAAAAATAATTTCTACATATGCATAGATAAAATGATAATTTAATACAAAACGAAATTCAGCCAGTATCCTGCCAAGCCCTGAATTCAGGGTTCTCTGCTTCTTTTGCAACAGAGGGAGGTGTTAATGACGTCATTAACTGCTGCAGAAGAAATAGGGGACCATGAACACAAGTCTTGGCAGAAAATAAACACCCTCTGAGTTTATTTTTAAATTTAAAGTAAATAGAAAAATTAATTTATAGAGTGTCTGTCCAATATAGTTCCTGCCCTACAGGGGTAACTCAGGATCTTTATTTCCAGTGTTTTCAGCTGTATTCCAGAAAGAAAGGCTAACAACCTCTGTTCTTAAAAAGCACAAACTAAAACTGTGTCTATATGCCAAAAACCCACTAGTGAATAAGCTAAAAATTATTAAATTGGTTTTATATAAAATATGTACAACAATACAAGAAATTTTTCATATTTGTTAATTGTAAGATTATAATTAATATTTCACCTTGACCCCAGAGACAATGTCATTTTGTACCTGGAGAATCTATCTCAAAGATACAGAGTTCTGCCTTAGAAAAGTCAAAACTTGACACCTACTTTAACACCAGTTAAGACATTACTTGGAGTCAAGGAACACTGAAACAGAGTTTGTTCATCACTTTACATTCTGACAGGATAGGACACATACATGCAAACTTAACTCTCACCTTGTCGAGTTGATCTTGAAGACTAGTGGATGCTTTGTAACCAAGTTGCAACAGCATTGCTTCCGCAGCATTTTTTTTGGCTATCTTTTTATTAGGTCCTGTTCCAGTAGCAACTTCATTGCCTACCTTGACCTGATAAAATTAAAGTAAGAAATTAATAGTTGCTTTGGTAAACAAGAACTCCTTTAACGCCATAAAGAAAGTATTCTGCTTCCTACCATTCAAAAATATAAAGGTCCATCCATAATAAAAACAGCAATGAAGATCCCATTTATGTAATAGTATCTATACAAGTGAACATATACATGTAGAAAAATATAAAATATGGTCCTCAAGATGTCAGTGGAGCTTATCTCAGGATGATAGAATCTTAGAAGATTTTTACTTCCTTAAATATTTCTGTATTATTTGATTTTTTAAAACAATAAACATGTATTATTTATATAAGCAGAAAAATAAAATTCACATTGTAACAGAGTTTATGTTGGTTATGACTATGTTTAGTATTCTCTATTTAAATTAATAACCTGAAAACGCTAAAATTCACGTTGGTGCCATTTAAAATAATGTTCACATTGCATCCCAAGTTTACAAAGCTTTATACTAAATAGTTTCCAACGAGAATTAATATACAAGGGTTAGTACAATATTGTGGTTAAGAATAAAGACTTCCAAGTCAGATGTGGGTATGAAATTCAACCCCACTACTATAGGAACCGATTCTAATGCTTTAACATCTCTAAGCCTCAGGTTTTTCATCAGTAAAGGAGGGGTAACACAACTACCTCACAGTGTTGCTTGGAAAATTAAACAAGAAAATGGATGCAAACTGCAGTGTATAATAAATCATAATTGTTCAATAAACAGTAATTTTTTATCATTAGAACTATCCCACAGTTATCTTTTGTGAACACGTGATGATATATGTATGTATGTAAATACATGTATTTAAATACACATCAGCCATCTCATATCCACACAGACATTTTCTGAGTTGGGTAATGCTCTTTTAGAGATGCATGTGCCAAGAGATAATACAAATATGAAAAGTAAATTAGAAAGCAAAAAAGAACAGAATTATAAGCAGAAATAGAACATACAACTAGAGTGGGATTTGTTTTTAAACATTAGTCTCAACAAGTGATCAACAATGCAGACAAGAAGATAATCACAACTTTTGAAATTAATGTAATCTAAGTAATCTATGGGCCAAAGAAGACATCCCACTGGAAATTAGAAAATATTTTCAATAAATAATGGAAATATATCAAAACTCAGAGGATGTAGCTAAAGAAAGGTCTAGAAGAAAATATATATCAATAAAAGCTTGGAGAAAGGCAGAAAAGTAATGAGCTAAAAATCCATCTCAAGAATTTATTAACAGCAAAATAAATCCAAAGAAAACAGAACAGTAAAGACAAGAGCAGAAATTAAGGAAATAGCAAACAAATTACAAGAGAGAAGTTCAAAAAGCCAAAAGTTGGTTCCCTGAAGAGACGAATAAAATGCTAAGACTGATTGTGAAAAAATAAGAGAAGACACAAATAAAATGAAAACAGGAGATTACTAATAGCTTCTGTAGCATTACAAAATAATAAGGGATATAGAGTATTTTAACTAAAATTTTTTGAATATTTGGATAAAATGGAAAAACTTCTAGACAATACAAATTACCAAAACTGGCACGGAATAAACCCATAACTGTATAGGCCTAAAACTACTAAAGAAATTAAAACTATAATTAAAAACTTTTACACAAAGAAAACTCCTGAGAGCTTCTCCAGTAAGTTCTACTCAATATTTACAGAAAAATAATGCTAACTTTCAAAATTTCATCCAAGAATAGAAAAAGAAGAATGTCTCCACTTATTCAGTGAGTGAAGCATCACTTTGATTCCAAAATCCAACAAGAACAGTGCAAGAAAGGAAATTTACAGACCAGTTTCACTCATGAACATAAATGCTAAAGTTTAAACCACATAACAGTAAACTGAACAAAGCAATATATAAAAAGAAAATTCATGAAGTTAGGTTTATTCCAGAAATGCAAGGTTGGTCTAACATTTGAAACTCAGACAAAATCAATCAATAGAAGTTGCTATATTAATAGGCTGAGGAGACAAACCCTATGGTCATCCTAATAAATGGAGCAAAAGCATTTGATAAAACTCCACATCCATTCATAATAAAAAATTTTAGCAAACTAGGGAAAGAAGGAGACTTCCTTAATATGATAAAGGGTATTTTACAAAAAACCTCAGCAAATATTATACTTAATGTTGAAATTTTGAAACTAGAAACAAGACAAGGATGACCTCTATTTTTACTAGTATTTAACATCTTACTACAAATCCTGGACAGAACAATAAGGCAAGAAAAAGAAAAGGTATCAGAATTAGAAGGGTAAAAATAAACCTGTTATTTGCAGATATGATACTTATATAGGAAATCCAAGAAAATCTATAAACTATAAGACTTTATGACAATTAGTAAGTTCTCTATATAAAAGGTCATACACAAAAGCTAACTGCATTTGTATGTCACATCAACAATCAAGTAGAAAATGAAAAACATTAAAAGATACTATTTACATTAAATGAAAATCAAATACCTATGATGTTTAAGACCTTTACACAGAAAACAATAAGCAATTATTGAGAAAAATTAAGATAAACCTAATAAATAGAATTATGCCATACTCACATATAGAAGACTCAATATTATAATATCAATTCTCTTCAAATTGACCTATAAACTCAATGACTTTCCATCAAAATCCCACACATATTTTTACAATATTTGAAAAGCTGATCCCAAAATTCACATGGAAATGCAAAGTGCTAAGAACAGCCAAGATCATTCTGAGGAAGAACAAGGTGGGGACCATATTCTTCTGGATGTCTAGACTTAGTATAAAATTAACATAAGGGAAAAGACAGGAAAATTTGACTGCATTAAAATGTATTACTTCTGTTCCTCCAAAAGCATCTTAAAAAAGGAAAGACACAACATAAGAGAAGATATTTGAAATGCCACGTAACTTCAAAAAGCTCACATTCCAGAATATATAGTGGATTCTTATAAATCAACTCTTTAAAAATCAAGTAAAAAATGAGCAAGAGAGCTGAACAGGCAATCTGTCTCTGAAAACTTGGACTGTTTTACCAGATGTCACTGTGCTTTGTTTAAAAAAAATTTTAGAAAGCTTCAATAGCTTAATGCCACTTTAATAAAATTTCACAATGACAATATACTGGGCACCAGCAACGAATGGGTACACGGTAGAACTAAATCCAGTTTTCTGATACAAAGTATGATACTTCTACCCATATTTTGCTTTTTGGCTCTTGTGAGAAATTGTAACATTGGCTATCTCACTTGTCGCAGAACATATACATGCCCATCTATATTCACACCTGTATACTGTTTGCCATTTATTCTTACACCGATATTTAGAGTTTTATTTGTGTTACTATTGCCATCACTACTTTTAAGCTTCAGTGAATGAACTACTTTTAAGCAACTAGGGATATACAACACAGCAGTAAAAAAAAAATAACAAAAACAACAAATATAAACAATGTGCAAATTACAAGACAAAGAAACTGGACTCTTTTAACAGAATCTTAGTCAATCAAGATGAGCTAAATGACATAGTTCTTGTAGTATATGAAACATTGAAAATGTATTCATTGTAGAATTTCTGTAACAATTATCAGAAATCTTATAGCTCACATCTGAACAATGTTTTTGAAACAATTCATTGCTTTTTCTTCTGAAATCAGAAACCACCACATTATGACAAATCAGCAGTAGTCCACAGACCTCACGCAGAAGCACTGATCTCGTACTGTTCACGGCAGATCCTTGGAACTGAGTGAACACACACCACCTCCCATATCTGTGTTGCCTGGACCTGATTTGAACACAACAGGCCCTGTGGACAACCAACTTGAGTCCCTGGCTAGAGCCAGCCTCTGCTACTTGTTATTTTTTCCAGGGCTTGGGTTGTTCCCCAGCTTCACCAACACTTCTGTTGTTGCTGGAATGCCTGCTAGCTAAAAGATTAGGCCAGCGACGTCAGAAGCTTCCTCGACAGCTCTAAGGGTCAAAAGACTTGCCAAAGTAAACGGAAGCAAAAGATCACGGAGCAGCAGAAAACATTTCATCTGTTTTACACACTATGTACACCTCACTCGTTCTCATTCAATTGTTATGTTGCTGCATCCCTAAATCTCATTTATTTACCCAGTCCTGATGGCCCTGGGCTCCAGGCTCCTGCTCTAGGGTAACGCTGTTCCCATCTCAGCATTCACCTTGGATCTGGGTCTGCCAGGTTTCCATCTGACCTATTCTGATACCTTCAAGACTTACTTTTAGAACAGATGCTTCCAGATTCATTTTTCCCATTCACCCACCCTTTGCCTCAAGTAAGTTTTTATAGTTGCATGGTTGAAGAGTTTGTGAGTGGTTATCCCAGAGTTATTTGTTAGTACTGAAAACAACCGCTGTGCTGAAGGATTTTGATTCCCTGCTAACCAACACAATGGTCACTCAAAAAAAATCACTTCATTATAAAAGTCAAGTGAGTATGTTAAGTAAACTTCGTAAGTCATCTTCCTAGAAAGCTCACAAACTTTATAACTATTATAAATAAGATTTTTACATTAAAATGTTAATTTGTCTGCAAAGAAGCTCAATTATTTTGCTATGCAATAAATTTAAGACTTCCAGATTTTTGTCTTTAAACAAATCATTTAAATAAATCAAGTCTTCAAAAAACTAACAAAAAAGTTCTAAAATAGCATTTACCAAAAACTTAATTCATTATCTTTCACTGGGTCACAAATAAAATTGATGAAATTTGCTTGATGTAGTTTTTAAAAACCTGGAGATCTTAATGTGTAGAAAAACTAACATCATATGATACATAGTAATAGAATGTGCTGATATACAACTTAGTTTACTTATCATTATTTTCTCTTTCAAAAATTAAAATATCCCTCTCCAAAAAATAAAGAAATTTGCTCTGGAACTAAACACCCAAATACCTCCATCAGAGACTTCCTTGTATCTAGTAACCAATACAAGTAATACATCCCTTTATAACATATAAACTTACTTTTTTTTTTTTTGGTGATAGATAAATAGGAGTATATCATCCCTGGATATTTTACTTCCACATTCAATTATAACAAATGATAACATTGCTTAAGTAGTTTATACAAAAGCCTTTACTTTGATAAAGTTGCTGCAACACTATAATGAATCCACTGGGGCTTCCAGAAGGGAGAGAAAACAATATGAATTCAGTGTGAAAACATTTAAAAGCACAGCCAAATGTTCCTGTTTGACAAGAATGTTTATGAATACCCATAAAATAGAAGCTGGCTTAAGATATTCTAAATTCCTCTTTCAAAAGGGGTACTCAATATACTGCATAGAAAAGGAATTGTTTAATAAAATGAAAGCCAGTTTTTATTCTTAATACAGGTCTAGAATTTAGGTGACTTTTCTCCCTTCAAGCTTTGGAGTTCAAAGAATACTTTCTAGAATTCTTCAAAGCTAAGAAAGTAAAAAGAAAAATGATGCACATATTTTATCAAAGTGAGAATACTAGAACAACATTGTTCTGTGTCCTAAGGACATCTAGACAATAACGTGTTCACTAACCGCAGAAGAATAGCCCCCTCTTTGGATATGTAGGCTCCTAATCGTGGTGTATCTGTGACTATATCCTAAGTTCACATTTCCAACAAAAGCCAAACAGCTCTCAATCAGGGAGGAAAGCAGCGAACATACATCAAAGGTTTACTGAGGTCCTACTATATCCATACCACTGGATGGGGTACTGTGAGGTGAGACGAAGAAACATGGAGACTATAAATTAGGAAGAAAGGTAAAATTGAGATATGCGTGAAAAGTTAATCAATATGAGATACTATGTTTGAGTGCCAAAATGTCCGCCACATCGTCAGCACTTAATAAATATCTGTTGATTTTCATTGTATTATATTAAAGGTGAGATCCATAAGTTTGACTGGAAAAGTTTATTTGATAACTCAATTACAACAAAAAACAGTTTTGCAACAACAAGGAGGATTTAAATACAGACTGGGTATTAGAGGACTCCAATGAATCATGCCTAATGTAAGAAAATATAAGGAAAACTTGCATATTTTTTAGAGATACGTACTAAGTATGTAGGCTGAAATGACATTTGGTTAGAAATTAGCTTTGAAATATTTCAGGAAAAGAAGGAAGGGAGGGGGAAAGGAAGGAAAGGAGGGAGGGAGAAAAGAAAAACTGATAGCGGAAACAAGTGCGGCAAAAATCTTAATTGTCTGTGTTTGGACGATGGGCATATTTCCCAATATGCCATTATACCATTCCATTATACTATTCTTTTTATAGTGAACTATTAAGTATGTCCACCTTTGGATATGTTTGAAATTTTCATAATAAAAATTAGAGGTTTCTTCAATACTGGGGCCTGAGTGGCAAATGAAGATGGATAGGTAAGATTTAAACAGGAGAGGACTTGAGGCATTCTACCTCATTCCTGGGTCCCACCCATCAGCCAACACATTAGCAACCATTCTTCAGTTTTCTTGGCTGCACAAGGCAGCAGTTAAATCTCTGAGTCCTCGCCACAGTTAGGCAGCCAGCTACTCTGTTTCCCTAATTTTCCTGATAACCCAAAAGCTCATGCTCTTGGCCCGGTTCCATCTACAACACCCATCCTTCTAAATTTTGTTTCTAACGCCATCTGTCTCCTATTCCCAGTAGTTAATAACCTCCGACTGCAAACCGTAACACAATAAATTAGAAATAGGCATTCTAAAAGATAAACTCCGCGGCAAATAACCTGTGTGAACTCGCTGTCCTTTCAGACTCATCCTATCTGTTCTAACATGTCCTTGACACTCAAATGTTTCAGCCGAGTTGGTAGGTGGGCCTGGAGGGCACAAAGACTTTAAGTATAAACAGCTTCACTTTCTGCTATTAACTCCTAGTTTGTCTTCCCCCCGTATCTCTATTCCAACCTGAGGATTTCCAAATTTTTTCAATTTCAAAAAAACTCTTCGAACATAAAAGTTAGAAATACCTGCATCACAAATTCCCGACGCCGAGGCATTCCCCTTTCTGAAAGCAAAACGTAATCCGGCTCCTTCTCCTTTTTGGCCTGTTGAATCTGAGCCAGGCGGCTAATGGGGTTCATTCCTTGACCATATTCTGGTCCAGCCTAAAAAATAATTTAAGAAAAAATTTCAAACCATGCTTGGAAAACTTGTTATTGGATCCTTGAAGAAACAGTGGTTCTCTCCTCCTCCCCTGGACCCCAAAACTGTGACTAAAGAAGAAAATGAGAGTCATTTATGAAGATTTATAATAGAAAATCATAAAATGGATCTGAAACTAAGGTTTCTATAGGATGTAGGGCTCAGAGGTATTAGTGATAAGTTGAGTCAACTATGCTCTTAAACTTTTCCGTACAGTCGAGTTGCTTCATAACTTCTATTCATCAAAAACACCAAAAAGAACATGAGAAGCAAGTCACGAACTGGGAAGAGATATTTGCAATACATATAACTAAAAAAAGATACATCTGGCATCCAAAATATACATTTTAAAACTCCTAAAAAGTATTAAAAGACAATCTAAAAAATGGGCAAAAGATATGAACAGATATTTAACAGAAGAAAAAACCAGGAAAAGATAATCAATCTCATTAGACTCAGAAGATGCATATTAAAACCACAATGAGATACTATTTCACACCCATCAATTTAGCAAAAATTGAGAAGTCCGACAGACCCAGTTGGTGAAGATGGGGAGTAACAAAAACTTAAATGGTGCTGATAGTAACATAAATTAGAAAACCACTTGGCTATGTCTAGTAAAGCCAAAGATGGTACATCCACTCCCCAGTAGCCTTTTTGTAGGCCTGTATATACCCTAGAAAACTGTTACTGATATATGCTACCTTATGTGTACAGGGATATCCACAGGTGCATTATTTTAAATAGCAAAAAAATGGAAACAACCTAAACATTCATCAATAAAAGAATATAAATTATGGCATGTTCATACAATGGAATGGCATATAACAGTGAAGATGAATTAAGTATTGCTACATGCATCAAGATAAATGACTTTCAGGGAAAAAAAAGTTAAGTGGGACAAGCAAGCACAGAAGAATACATATAGTGCGAAATAATTTATGCAAAGCCCACTAAAACCACAAAACTCTGCTGAAATTAAATAAGGTCTCAATAAATGGGCAGATATATGTTCATGGATCAGAAGACTCAATATTCTTAAAATGTCAATTCTCCTCAAACTGATCTATCAACTCATTACAATCTCAATCAAAATCCCAGCAGGCTTTTTTGGGTAATAATTAATAAGGCAATACTAAAATTCACATGGAAATGCAAAGGACAAATAACCAAAACAACTTTGAAAAAAGAACAAAGTTGGAGGACACAGACTGCCTGATTTCAGAATTTATTATAAAGCTATGGTAATCAACACAGTATGTGCAGCATTGGCAAAACGAGAGACAAAGAGATCGATGAAACAGAACCGTGTCTAGAAACAGATCCACACATAACAAATCATGGTCAACTGATTTTCGACAAAGGTGCAAAAGTACTTCAGCGGAGAAAGGCTAGCCTTCTCAACTAATGGTACTGGAACAACTGGATATACGTACGCAAAAAACCCCTTCAGCCCATACAGTTACAAAAACTAATGCAAAATGGCTCACAGACTTAACTGGTAATATCTAAAACTATAAAACTTCCAGAAGAAAATGTAAGGGAAATTTTTGCGCCTTGGTTAGGTGACAATTTCTCAGATACCACACCAGAATCACATTTCATAAAAACACTCCTCCTCCTCCTCCTAATAAATTAGACTTCTTCAAAATTAATAACGTCTATTCTTTGAAAAGGATAAGTCACAGGCTTGGAGAAAATATTTATAAACCACACATCTGATAAAGAACTTGTATCCAGAATGTATAAAGACCTTTCAAAATCCAATAATAAATTTGTTATTATTTAAAATTTATTATAATTTATTATTATTTGAATTATTGCTTAGAATATTTTAGGTGGGAAAAAGGTTTGAACAACACTTCACTGAGTTTCATGTAGTACTAAACACACAAAACTGCTTAGGGGCCGCCCCGTGGCTGAGTGGTTAAGGTTGCACGCTCCACTTCGGCGGCCCAGCGTTTCACCAGTTCAGATCCTTGGTGAGGACGTGGCACCGTTCGTCAGGCCACCTTGAGGTGGCGTCCCACATGTCACAACTAGAAGGACCCATAACTAAAATATACAACTATGTACTGGGGAGATTTGGGGAGAAAAAAACAGAAAAAAAAAAGAATTTAAAAAAATTGCTCAATATCATTAGCCACTGGAGAAATGCAAATTGAAACCACAGTGAGATATCAATCCACACGTATTTGAACAATGGAAATTTAAGACTACACTACGTGCTCGGAAAGATGTGCGGCAACTAGAATTCTCACACATGACTGATGAGAATGTAAGATGGAACAATTACTTTGAAAAACAATTGAGGGTTTCTTAAAATGTTGAATACATACCTACTAAATGACCAAGCCATTCCACTCCTAAGTATTTACTCAAGAGAAATGAAAGCATATGCCCATAAGACTTATATATAAATGTTCACAGCAGCTTTATTTGTAAAAGCCAAAACTAGAAACATCCCAAATATCCACTAAAGGGAGAATGGATAAACAAATGATAGTTTATCTATACCACAGAATACTACTAAGCAATAAAATAGAACCAACAATTGATACATGAAACAACATGGATGAATCTCAAAATGATTACGCTGAGTGAAAGAAGCCAGCCGAAAAACAAGCGGTTACTTGGGAAGTGAGGTGGGGGGACTAGAAAGAGGCACAAGGAAACCGGGAGCAGTGGATAGGTTCATTATCTTGGTTGTGGTCATGGTTTCATAAGTGTAGACATATATCAAAACATATCAAACAGCACATTTTAAACATGTACAATTCACCACATGTCAATTATACCTCAATAAAGCTGTTTTAAAAACTAACCAAATACCACTTTTCAGAAAAACATGTAGTACAACTGTAAGGTAAAGAAATGTTAAACACAAAACTAGTGACGGTGGTTGCCTATGGGAGGTGGCATCAGGATGTGGCAGAAGAGGGGCACACGGATAGCTTCTACCTTACTAGAAATGTTCTATGTTCCAGTTGGGTGCTGCGTCTTACTTACTCTTGCTTAGCATGCTTTTTAACTTACATACGAGTTCTATATAAACATTTTAGAAGTCACTCTCTTTATTTTTAACTTTATATTGGGTAACGTTTATGATAAAGTTTATCTTTTAAAAAAAGTTTATATACAGCTTTTTCTTAGCGCCTTCTGAAAGGTTTGAAAACAAAAAACCTTTGCAAATCAAATACTCTTTCTGCATGCAAACTAACTTTCTTCATATATTATTCTTAGAAATGAAGCTCTGCATGTATCATATAATCAGAACTTTATTTCCACCTGTGAAAATCTCTTCTAAAACAAGTATTAGAGACACTATGTTACACTATGTCACTATGTTACAGACTATATACTTACACTAAACTGTCAGAGCCACTCTATCATCTCAGCTCTTTGTGAGAACTGTTGAGTCTCAACCGTGTCCACTTCGGTGCTGCAGGGACAGCCTCCAGGTCAGATCCTGCAGGGCCTTTTAAATTATGTTTAGGATTTTGGACTTTATCCAAAGAGCAATGGGAAATTACTAAAAGATTTTAAGCAGAGGCATGACATGATCCGATCGGTGTCTCTAAAAGATAATACTTTTAAAAAGATCATTTGATGTCAAGAGTACTTGTAGAAGGCCAATGAAAAACCTACTGTAGTAAGTTCAGGCAAGAAACACTTGTGAGTTGGACCAAAAGGGTGGCAAAGGAATGGAAAGAAATGGACCAACTTAAGAAATAGTTAAGTGATAGAATCAGTAGGACTTAATGATTGATTGGATACAAGGGTCTGTAAGAGATAAACTAAAAACGACTCCTAGGCTTCTATTTCAGCAGGCGAATGGCGGTGCCAGTCACTGTGGTAAGGTATGCTGGAGGAGAAAGAGGTTTCGAAGGGAACGTGATGAGTTTTGGACACAGAATTTGAGGTACCTATGAAATATTAAGTGAAGATGTCTTATAGGCAGCATAGAGCATGGTAGAGTATTTGGGAATCATCCATATAAAGACGGAACTGAAGCCCCAGAAGTCTGAAGAGCAGCCGAGGGCAAGCGTAAGAGAGGAAAAGGATGGAGAACTTCAACACTGCGAGTTAGTGGAGGGAGAGGAGAGAGAAGAGGACAATTTTAGCTTTTGACAAAATACTGGTTTCACTTCTACTTATATACCAAAAATGAAAACTAAATAAATTATAAAGGAAGTAAAGAAGGACTGATGAGAAAAGACAAATACAGACAATAACTTTTAAGTCTAAGATTGAGATACCAATGAAATGGTAAAGGGAAGCTTTTGAGTCTAGCACCAGAAGTAGTATGCCTGGCTCATGAAGACGTTCAAATAAATAAGTATTTCCAATGGTATGCTGTCTTTATTCCTGTTTAATTTGGCTCTTTTATAAGAATGTCTGTCAGTTCCAAAGACATTGTTGCTGACATGAATTCCAATGACAGAACCAGATGCACAAATCCAATTAGATAATAATGGAGTTCTGAGAACATTCAGAATGGCTGGTTTCTTCCCTTGATTGAAATTAACTGCTGGCACCCTTGACAATTAAGTTCTTCTTTGGATATCAAGTCTTAGGTTATCATTCCACAAACCAGGGAGGACAGTCTTGTAACAGCTGTGTCCAGAAAATTTTACCTCCAGCATCGGAAAGCCTTCTTTAAATCTTAAAATCCAAAAGGAGTTCACAACTAACCAGTTTCAGATGGGCACTGGAGTCAGACACGAGAGGACCTGAAATCTGACTCTGCTACACGATCCTGGGCAAATTTCTTAAACACCAAGGACCTCATCTGTAAAATGGGGATAGTAGCTACATCACAGAGTGATTAAGAGGATCAAATGAGACAATGTGATAGTTTTATTATTTTACATAAAATCAAGGCAAATCATCAACAAATATTTTCTCTCCTTCTATTGTGTATAAGAAACAGAAGACCCTAGATATATAAGACATAAAAGGAAGTGATGAAAATGCTGAAAAACAAGACACTATTCCAAACTGATCCATTTATTGGCCCACTATAAGGTATGATCGTGCTTAAAATTATCTAGATTCCAACTCATTGTATGCATGCTGCTTTCTCAAAATAATCTTACATTTCAGAGGATATCTATAGGCTTTATTTTAACATAAGACAGACGTAATACAAGTAATTCCAAATGTGATGTATGTGAGGAAAAATGCAGGGGCTAACCTAATCTGGGAGTTGGGGAGGACCAGAGAAGGCTTCCCTGAAGAAGTCAAGTTCAAGATGAGATCTGAATGGTGGGTAGGAAGAAAGTTCTAGAATAATATGCTTATATACTAGAAGTAGTAGCAAGTAATTCTGAGAACTCAGTATGTTTCTTCTTGCTCTGGGGAACAACATTTAAACAATAATCTTGCTCTTAATGTCTATAGTTAAAAGTCACAAGAGTCCTATTTATATCCTACTATAAAAATCTATAGATCTTTCCTTGTCTGATGGCTTATTATTCCTTATTTATTAAGATCAGATTTAATTTAATAGATTAGATGGGAGTTATTGTGCCAGTTTTGTGCTGCCATTCTGATGTAGAGCACTGTTCTTTCAACAAGGAGAAGGTATAGATTTTACATATAAAAAGATTTAAGGAAATAGACCACGGATATATTCATGTACATATAAAACGTGGACAGAATTAGGTACAAAATAACAACAGTTAAAATTTACTAAGTACTTATTATTTGTAGCTGATAAATATTTAATAATAATTACTAATGCATTTTGAGTACTATTTCAGTTAATACTTATAATAATACTATGAAGCAAATTCAATTATTCTTCCTACTTTATAAATGAAGAAAAGTAAGATTAAAATGTTAGGTAACTTGCTCAGGTCACAGGGATTCACACTCAAAATTGACTGCAAAGTTTGTGTTCCTAATAGCACATCCCATCCCCTGACCGTGTGGTCAGAGCATATGAGCGAAAGGCAGTCGTCCAGGAACCACTGTGACTCACAACGAGTGGACCTATTTGCCATTTATTTTTAGTCTACCTTACATATAATGTAGAATGCTATTTCAAGGAATGTATAACCTACATCTTCTCAGTGAAGTAGTGACAGTATTCATTAAAAAGAACAAGTTACTTATGTAGTTATTTATTAATATAAATGTGTGTGCATGTATTTTTTTTTTTTGAGGAAGATTAGCCCTGAGCTAACTGCTGCCAATCCTCCTGTTTGTGCTGAGGAAGACTGGCCCTGAGCTAACATCCGTGACCAACTTCCTCTCCTTTACATGTGGGATGCCCTACCACAGCATGGCCTGCCAAGCGTTGCCATGTCCACACCTGGGATCCGAACTGGTGAATCCCGGGCCGCCGAAGTGGAATGTGCGAACTTAACTGCTGCACTACCGGGCTGGCCCCCGTGTGCACATATTTTCAAATAAACCAAAGGTACAAGGTATACAACCTATAGAAATACTTCAATTATGCCACTGCACAATCTAAACAAAAGAAATTCATCAATAAAATGTACGTCATTCCTGTAATCCTTGGTTTTAGAGCTTAATCAAAAGGAGTCTGCTAAATATGTGAGGCTGAGCTGGCAAGTGACATGCTGGCAATTCCAGGCTTTCTCTGGAAACAGAACTCTAGCTCCATTCATGTCACACATACTGAGCACTCATGGGCACTGTCCTGTACTGAGTGCTGTTTCATCTCAGTCCTCTCACCTGTGCCTTTTTGTTTGTTTGTTAATGTAAATAAAATCTGATCCAGTAAAAGAAAGAGTCACTGTATCTTGAAAAGCTGTGTGCTCTGTATTCTTCTTTGGTGAGGTACACACACCTGAAACAATGGAAACTAAACTATACTGTTCACTCACAGGGCTGCTGTGAGGATTAAATGGGACAAAGCACGCAAAGCGCTGGGACAGTCTGGCACAGAGGGCTTCACATGCACTAGCTGCTGCTGTCGTCACCAGTGTTAGTATCACTCACGATTACACTCTGAACCCTATCAGCATTTCACGGTATCCTAAGAAGTCACCACATAGCAGTGTGGTGTACAGAAAGATCACTGGATTAGAGATCAGAGTTCAGGTGGCTCTGTATGATAGGTGAATAAAAATGAGCAAATTCTTTGAAGATGCTTTGTAAAACCTTACTTGTAAAATGAGGAGTAATGCCATCTACCTTACACAGTCATGATGAGAATGATACTAAAGGTGATCACAAACGGGAAAGCATTTTTAAGCCATAAAAAACCATAAATATGGGAGGTATGTGATGAACAAATGTAGGTATACAAATGTCTAAAAAGCAAAACAGAATCGTTATTAATTTATAGTCACATGTCCGATCCTGATTCTGGGACTGTGTATAATCCATAAGTTTAGGTAGTGCCCTATGGAAAAACTTTTATCTAGAGTAACTATAATATTTATACAGTAAAACTGACTAACGCTCACAAGCATACACTTACCTTGACTATTGTTTTAGGGCGTTTTTTAAAAAATAGTTTTGGCTTTTCAACCACAGGAAGGGGTGGAAGTTTCTTCAGCTCCTGTAAGACGGTGGTGGCAGCACGCTTCTTGGAGAGCTTTTTGCTATTTCCCTCTCCTTCTGCAGAGAACTCTCCCACCGACACCCGAGTAACAAAGCTTTTCATATGTGGTGGCCCACTTTCTTTAATAACCTATTAAATATAAGTAAAATGTTTCATATAGGCACTTAACGATGCATTCTTCTAGCATGAATCTTTCTTAATGTTCATACTATAATCAGAATTTTAATTATTAAGAATTATGCCAAAACTATAGATTTCTTTAATAAAACTATTATGAAGGTATTATATGGGGACTATTCATTTATGATACATATGATGCTTAATGAACTGAAGTTGAAAGAACAGAAATCTAAATAAATATATCCAATTCATAGTCAAAATTGTGTTTTACGAGCTTAAAACAGGCAATTCTAATTAAGGTCACCCTACTTCTTATGGAACAGAAAATTAAGAATATAAACCATATCATACTAGATGAGATACACAGGCCATCCAGAATGATAATTTGTATACAACTGTGTGCATAGCTAATTTCCTGCTCTGCAGGAGTAAGTTACCAGAGTACAAGGACCTTGTCTCACTGGAGTTATACAGGCCATAAAGCATCCCGTGTGAGGAAGGCTCTGAAAACCAGCTGATGGGAGAGAAACAACCTATTTTGACAGAGGCCTCAAAGGCTGTTACACAGAAAGGAATGTTTACTCTCTGTGACATGATCTTAAAAAGGTAAGTAGATATGCCATAAAAATACCTAGCCTTCTAGAGTAATGGATTATGAATCTGTCAGCTATGAAAGTTCCTAAAGCCTGTACTAATGTGCTCTTCTAAACCATGCCAGCTTTTGGAGGAAAGATGTCTTCCAAACCCTGAGTGCTCAAACTTTCAGTCTCCTCCAAAACTCTGACCTATAAAAGAGACCCTGCTTAGTTACACAGTTGACCATTTAACATTACATGAAAATTTTTTCTAATATTGGGTACCAACTAGGAAAAGAAAAGAAAAACAACACAGTATCTCGATAATCCACCACTACTGGGGATAAGGAATTTATGATAAGCATACTTTTCAAGTAATTTAACTTTACTAGTTGCAACACGAAAACTGTTTCGTTTCAGCACTCTGATGGACATCCTCCTCAGATAAAAATTTTTAAAAAGTATATACTTCGCTGACTTAGAGAATACTAAATATTTAACCCTTTATTGCTGACATTGTATCACCATCATGAACATCGAATATTCTATTCTGTAATCATACTGATGCTTCTAAGACTTACAAAACTTCCAATTTTGTTGTAGCCTTTAAAAGGCTCCAGGTTTCAATAATTTTTGAGGGTATGCAATTACTTTTGATAAGTTTTCCCTGTTTTCCAGATTATTTTTTGCTGGAACCAAAAGGCCCTCAAGAGCATTTTCTCCCTGCCTTCCTCATTTTGCTGCTTTGAATCTGCTGTGGGCTGAGAAATCAGATAACTCAACTTGTTAGAATTGTCTAAGAAGAAAGCAAACAGGTTTGCAGTCGAGGTCGGCTGATGCTGACAGCAAGTGAAACGTACGAGCTTTCTAGTAGGTGAAAGTCACACAATTTGAAGGAGATGCTACATGACTGTTTCAGCTTATTTCCTGGGTTTTGCCTATTTTCTAGATATCTGAGTCGCAAAATTAGTGACCTCTTAATAAAGGAGGTATTATAATAATTTAAAATTATTTTCTCTTTTAAATTTCACATCACTTTACAAATAATTTGTGAGCTGCTTAATTACTTCTTAGCGACTTACTAGTAAAGGTTAAATTTAAACATATTTTGGTCTCCACAAATTTGAAGAAATTGAACATTAGTCTTTGTGTCATTAAATATTAACTTGAATATTTTCAGTTTGATCCTACTAAAAACACCAAAACCTTATAGAGTACTACAAATTATCCTACACTCAGAAAATAAATTTTACGATGAAAATTAAAATAGCACATATATATATATAAATGGCTTAACACAGAAAAGGCAAAGAAACCAGCAGGAATCCATGAAATCATAATAAGTACTATTTTCCCCAGGGCCTATAACATTTCACGACAGAGAGTCTGGATATGAGGAAGCACATTAACTCCTTCAGGATACTAGTATGCTGTTCAACTGTGTTTACTTGTTTGTTTATTTAAAATAATGAGGAGCGGTGAGGTGGGGAAACCACGAGATCTCTATTGAGCACGTACCTCAAAACTGACGGGCATATTTCGCTTCAGAGCAATTTCAAACACTAAGCTGATCTCAGATTTATTTGCATCTTTGTCATCATCCATCTCTTTTCCTGATTCGCCATTCTAAATCACAAAAAAGAAGATGACATTGAATCTTCACCCGGTAACAAACTTTACACATATTCTACAACCAAGCAGGCCGATCTAAAATACAGTAAAGAAACAGGAAACCAGAGCCTGGATCTTGTGGATTCCCATGTAACCACAGTAGTTCAGGGCTTGGCGGTGAGGCTTTTTGTCATTTGGTTTTCAGTTTTTTCCCTTAAAGTAAAAGGATAAATGCTGAGTGTGACAATTTTTTACTCAACTGTACACTAATTTGAGTTTATCCTACATCCCCCAACCCAATTTTCTTTAAAGATCTCCAGGCGCCCCCGCCTCCACCGCCCCCACAATGTCGCCACTGATGTTCTAATATGATCTTTCATCTTCTACGAAGACTAAGTTGTAGAAAGAGTACAGGATGCAAACCAGGATTTTGGAGCTCTGTGCCTGGCTCTGGTACTAATTTACTTATCCACTTATTTAACACACACTTCTGGAGGGCCTCATATACGCTGAACACAGTGTAAGTGTTAGAGATAAAGAGATCAAGAGACAGTATTCCTGCTGCCAAGAAGCTTATGACTTAGTGGGAAAACAGATAAGCAAGCAGATAAGAGTCGTAATGAAAATTTACAAGGAGAAAAATACCTAACTCTGCCATTAACTATGATAAATCTCAAAGGGGGATGAATAATGGGTTTGAGGAAGGGGGAAGTGCAGAGGTTGAACTGTACAGTCTGAAATAACTACATGGAGAACTCATAGGAAGGTGACTTAGAAGACGTGCCTGAGCTGGAGTCCATCAAGAAAGCAGCTAGAGCCACGAGAATGGGTGAAACTCCCCAAGATTAGACTCAACATCCTCATTGGTAAAATAAAGTAGGACTGAAAAATCCATGAAGATCTCCTGCCCTTTAAATTCCTTGATTCTAGATTAATACGACGTTATCTATGCTCAATAAAGGTCGCCTTAAATGCAAGGTAAGTGAAAGTTATTTCTCATCCTTGTTCACATCCCCAAATTGCGTGCTGCCTGGGAAGCGAACTCTGTAGTTGAACCAAGGTTCTCAAAGGTAAGGCCATCCCAGCAGGAACATAGGGGTCTAGCCCAGTAGACAGGTCATCCGAGAAGCAAGTCACAGCAGATCACCACTTTAGTATTCTCTCCTATCGGAAGAGATTATTTCTTTTATTTGGAAAAATGCATTTATTTGCCTTCTCAATAACCTCACTGGGGAACTGCAAGAAAGAGACTGTCGACGCAGGCCCGCACCTGAGGTGATTTTTCTGGAATAGGTTCATTCTGCAATGCTTGAAGGGCTTTCATTGCAGCGTTGTGTCTAGCAGCCTGCCGAGTCTTTCCTTCTCCAAAAAATTCATTATTTCCTACAGTCAGCTGAACATAAAAGATCTTGGGCATTGGGCAATGATACCTAAAATAAGAAAATGAAAATATTAATGTTATTCCAATAAAATCGCTCTATAATCATTAAGATTTGTTTGCTTTAAAATGATATCAACCATATAATGTACCATACCCTCTAATTAACCCCAGTAACGTTTTAACCTCATGAATTTACCTATAAAAGATAAAATATGTGAATATATCTATAGAGAATAAAGAGTATATATTGATCTTCATGAAAAACATACTATAGAAAACAACATTAAACACAAATTAATATAGTAAAAATTGATTATATCATAGAAGGCTTTCTGGCGGGAAGTTTTCAGTCAGATTTTGACAGAAGTGAGCCCGGTGGCCTGGTACTGCTGGATGGGAAGCCACCGCACAGGCTGGAGATGAGCAAGTCCATCTGGGTGACAACATGCAGATTACGGTGGCTTCAGCAGAAGACAGGTGTGATGAAAAACAGGAGGGGCAGAGAGATGGAGCTACCAATCCAAAGCCATGAGGAGATCAGATTCAATGTAAGGAAGAACAGGGAGTTTAAGACAACTCTTAAGCACCAAGTATCATAATAAAAAGTATTTAAGGTGAAAATTTTTAGCAGGTTTGTGTTTAACGAGACTAAGGTAAGGAGACACGACTAGAAAGCTGCAATGATGCAGACATGAGGGGATAAAAGGGGCTGTAAGAAGAAAGAATAAACCTAGAAGAAATTAAGAGGATATGCACTAAAATCCATTAATTCAACAATTATTTATGGAGTACCTTTTATATGGCACAGGAATATGACAATGAAAAAAATACACATTATATTGGGGAAGACAGACAACAAAAAGATAAATATGTAGAATATCTATTTAAATAGATGAAGGAAAGGTTCAGAAGTGTCAGGGAGCTAGGTTTTAGACAGGGTGCCAGGGAGGGTCTCACTGAGAAGACGACAGCTGTGTAGAGACCTGAAACAAGTGCGGGAGGAAACCACACAGATATCTGCAACAGTGCACTTGAGGCAGAGAAAACACTTGAGTGCAAAGCCCTGAGGCAGCAGTGTGCCGAGCGTGGTCAAGTAATTCGGAAGATGCCCATCTGGTTAGAATTGAGGGAGTGAGGGAAGGAGAGGTAAGAGATGAGAGGAGAGGTGGCCAGACTCCATAGGGCCTTCCTTAGAAATCACTGGAAGGATCTGACTTTTCCCTAGTGAAATGGCCAGGCATTAGAAAGTTGTGAGCAGAAAAGTGACATGATCGGACTGACATTTTGGAAGGATCATCTGACTGTTATGTTGAGAACAGACTACACAGGAATGATGATCAAAGCAAGGAGATCTCTTAGGAGGTGACAGCAATATTACAGGGGAAAGGTAACAGTGGCCTGAACCAGGGTTGTAGCAGTGGAAGAGATGAGAAGTAGTTGGATTCTGGATGAATTTCAAAAGTAGAGATGATGGGCTTACCCAAGGACAACCTATGGAATATGAGAGAGGAGTCAAGGATGACCCCAGGTTTCTAACCTCAGCAACTGGAAAATGGAGTGCCCATATACTGAGCTGATGAAGACTGCAAAAGAAATGAGTTTACTGGGGGTAGATATCAGCAGCCCTGGTTTGGAGATGTTAAATTATTCAGCCTGGTAGACACCCAAGTGGAGATGTCAAATGGACAGACAGATTTATGAGTCTGGACTCCAGCAAAGAGGTCTAACATGGAGATAAAATGTGTGAATCATCAATATATAGAAATGGAATTCAAAGCCACAAGACAGTGATAACTCAGTGGGAGGGAGCGAAAGGAGGAAAACCAGGCAAGCATGGTGTCCTTCCTAAAAGCCAAATGGGAAAAAGTCTATCTAGGAGGAGAGAGGGGGCGACTGTATCAAATGCTACTCTCAGGTCAAGTAAAAGGATGACTGAGAAATACGACCATTGAATTGGACAATTTAGCAAAACTAGTGGGATTGATTTTGATGGAGTGGCGGATCCATAACTGTAACACTAAAAAATTAAGTTAAAAATCACTCCAGGGTCAAAAAAATGTCTATTTCCAAGCAAAGAGCAGTCTAATCGAGGTCCCAGTAAGTATTAGATGATTAGTGGACAGCCAAGTGGCAGTGTTCTATATCCAACCTGAGATAAACTGGACAGAATCCATCGTATAAGAATTCACCAGGCAGACAGCACTAATCAGTGAAGGTTTCCTGAAGGTGAGGGACTGGAAATGTACATCGAGACTGAAGATGCAGATTTAGGCGGCAGTAACTGAAACCATGTGAGTGGATAAGCACCTGGAAAGGGCAAGTGTAAAGGAACCAAAAAAGAGAGCCCAAGGCTAGGAGCTGATTAATGCCCATGATCAAAAGGCAGGGGAAATAATAGACAGCAGTGAAGGAGATGAAAGAGGGTCAGAGGCAGAAAAGAAATTACAACACAACGCCAGGGAAAGGCATAATCAACAGTGTCAAACGTAGTGGAGAAATCCAGGCTATGAAAAACAAAAAAAATCACTGTTTCAAATTCTTAAGGTCAATTTTCTTGGCCCACAGTTTTCTATTAATTTGTTTTAAGATAAAGTATTTTAAAAGTGTTTTTATTATATGTCATATGCTCTCATTTTTAATTGGCAAACATAAAAAAGTTAAAAGAAGAAAAAAATCACTTATTGTAAAGGACTATTTTTAACATGCAAAGATTAAAAAGCATTAGAAACCACAATCTTTTTTGCTCTTTGATTACAATAACTTGTGTACTGAAGTGCACAATTTCCTATTACCTATTTAATTTTAGATCCCTTTAATGCAGGAATTTTGATAGACCAATATGATAAATGCAGGTTATCTTCACTTTGTGTCCACAAAATTCAGTTTTCCCACCTCCACAGAACTTTTACGCATATTTTTAACTGGTTCCACTATAAAACTTTAAGACAGACAACCTGAAATCACAAATTTATTCCTGCACTGAGATCTTATATGGCAAGCTTTCACCATAGAGCAAATGTTTACAATTAATTATAGACTTCTGAAAGTGGAGGTCCACAACTGGAATGCTAACAGACCTTTAACTACAGTAGAGGGAGTGGGCGCCACCATAATCACCAAGGCCTGCTGACAATTACAAAACTCATTTCGGTTGGCCACAGAGACAAACAAAATTTCTGTTCATTATAACTTTACTGGAATATGATGTCATAACACATAACCATACTGAAACAATCTGCTGATTTTCTGACCAAAATATTAATTGCACACTAAAGAGCCCTTGGGGTCTCTTCCTTTTTAGTCATCAAATATGGCTCTATGTATGTGTATGTGTGTGCATGTGGATACATATGTATACATAAATTATATTGTATAAATATCAGAGGGAAAATTGGGTATGTCGTATTCTGAACATTAAAAAATAGAACATTCTAGCACTAACAACAGGAAATACCAAGACCGGACGCCTGACTCGTTTCATTCCAGTTTCACTCCATCTTCTTACTTAACAATGATTCCTAAATATCTACCCCCCGTGGTTTGAATACCTTATATATCACATCTCCTCACATCATCATGACAATTAAGACTAACCAGAGCAATCTCATTAACAGCACCCAGATTAAATTATAAGAAAGATGATACAGAATGTTTTTTGGTATGTTAGGTCCTGTTCTCGAAAAGTTTATTTCATTTGGTAAAAAAACACTCAAAGTTTACTAACTTTAAAGGTTGACGTTCTATTTAATGGAGTTCCTCTTTCTATTTTTATTTACTTTAAACATGAAGCTCATTTTTCTATTTTTATTCACTTCACACATGAAGCTCATTTTTGGTAAAGTACCTATAATAAGTGATGTACACATTTTTACAAATTAGTATCTATTTACCTAATCTTGCATTGCCATTCTTGAATGATTTTTCTCAATTATAATTTTGTGGTCAACGCTTAGATCCCCATAGTGATTACTGTTAAAAGATGAGCCATGAAAACTCACCCGTCCAAGCTATTAAAGCTCCAGGGTCAAATGATGTCTACCCACAGCCTCCAAAGTGTATTCTGCAAAGTGTGATCCCACTTTTATCAGAATCATCTTTAGTTCTTGTTAAAAAAGCAGATTCCTGTGCTCCAACCCTGATCACTGACTCAGTCTCTAGGGATGGAACAAGAACCTTCACTTCACAAGTTTCCCTGGTGAGACTTGGCACACTGAAGTCTGAGAGCCACTGCTCCATGATATTACCACATCCTACAATACGGCTTATGAGACTGGACAATTACTTTCAAATCCATGCAAGCAAAGGACCACATACATTCCTTGTAGCACCAGGGTTAGGTTTCTTGCATTTCTTTCTCATTTAATCCTCACAGCACCCTGGTGAGACTGACGTCCCCATGGTAACAAATCTCCCCAAAAGAGTGGCTGGGAGTCAAACTCAAGTCAGCCTAACTTCAGAGCTCAGGAAACTCTTAAGTAGTCTCCTGAAAATCTGCTTTATTCTCTTCTGTTTTGGTTCATATTTGTTTATTAAACTGGCTATGTCTTTAGCAGGCCAGAGAACCTAATGCAAAGGTCCTTTCTAAACCCAAGGTCCACTGATAGACTTCAGAGGGGTTTTACTGAATAGCTGCTGAAATACACAGAACCCTATGATGAAATTCTATGTTTTTACAGTACGTCAAGCCAAGCAGGATCAAAAATAGACACAACTGAGTGACCCATCAGGAGCGAAAAGTCAGAATAATGGGTGCCATGTGCCACACTGCCTAACAATCTAAATTTTATAAAGGTTGCTCGTAAGCCCTTCTGTTCCCCATGCCTTTGCCCTCTGTCTGCTGGAAATCTTACAAAAAGGACACAAACAAATAAAATTTCAAATAAAAATTTTAAAAAGCTTCCCTCTCTTTAGATCCCCAAAAAGTCTTTACCTCTGGTCTGTCTTCAAGACATCACAAGTCAATACAAAAATACGTAAAGAATGTATATTTGCTTCCTTTGAATTAATACCTGACAATCCTTATACAGTTTTGTGGGGTTTTTTGCGCCA